TTGACCGACTGTTTCATCATGGAGACCAGAAATGTAAATGTCACTTAGGGAATTTAGTTAAGGTCTGTGCTCAGTGTGGAAACAATTAGCTGACAGACGGAAACTAAATTCTCTGATTACTCAGGGATGGGGTAGTGACTTGTTGCAAAGCCACTCCTGGGTGTGAGGGCGACCTGGCTGGAACATCTGTCACCCACTTGGTTGTTGGGTGTGGCCCAGCATGGTGGGTCGAGCTGCAGCGCCTTCCTCTATCTTCCCACCTTGCGCATCTTCCTCACTTGGCATGCTGGATCTAAGTAAGGTCCCAAGGAGTGGGAAACTCATTAACTGCCAAGGATATTCAAGTAGGAAGCATCTTGGGGACAGAACCCTTGGGAATCAGTTTGTAAGAACCAGTATCACGGTTCTTTGAAATGTTCTTTCTAAGTAGTGACCATGAACTAAGAGAAGAAAATGTAAGCGAAGTGAAAAAACTGAAACTTTCAGACTCTGAGGGTTGGGACTTAAAATGGTGCAAGTACTCTGGAGAATTTTTTCTTTCAAAGGTAAGACCACACTGACTCTGTTACTCAGCGGTTTTACTCCTGGGCACCGACCAAGGGAAAGGAAAACATATTCACAGGAAGAGCTGCAGTAGAACGTTCATAGCAGTGTTATTTATAATCGCTCCCCAAACTGGAAACAAATCAAATGCCTCCCACTAACACATTTGTTTACAGTAATACAATGAAACAATACTACGCAGTGGTTTTCAACAATATAGATGAATCTCAAAAGCACTTTGTTGAAAATGTAAAGTTCTGGAATAGGAAATACTAATCTATGGTAATAGAATCAGAACAGTGAGCACGGCTTTGGTGGGGAAGGTATTGTCTGGAAAACAACCCAGAAATTTTCTTTTGAAGGCCATCTCCCCATCCATCCCTGCAACTGTTGCCCCTACCCATGGCTCAGCCACAGCTGCGGGCTCCCGGCCCATAAGGAGCTCAGCAACTGCAGAAAAGATGCAACCTCCCCTTGGTTCGACTTCGCCCCGTCCACGACTGGTTTGCCTTCCGTCTTCAACGACACGCAGTTAATATTCACCTGCTCCAAAGGGCCAGCTGGGTTTTAACCATGTAGGCTTGAGCACACACCGCACTCAAGGAGTTCAAAGTTCATTCAGCTTCAAGAATCAAGCAAGACGGATGACCCCACAGCCCTGCAGGGCCCAGGAGGGTCGAGAGTGTCCTCCATCATGGGTGGTTGGGGCAATGTTTTCTGCCTGTGGAGCCACATTTGTTCCCTAAGAAGCTGGGCTGCGACTGCTCTGACGGGACCGACCCGTCATTTTTCTTCACTCGAATTAAGAAGGCGCCCTGTTCAACAGGCACCCCATGCCCCCCTGAATAAGACTGACCCCTCCTTACAAGCTCATCCTGCAACACCCACCCAGCCCGCTGGGACCGCCCTGTGGAGCCCGGCATCAGCTCCAAGGCTGGGCCCAACACGAACCCACTCTGATGCTGCGGGACCCCACCTGCCTGCGCCCCACTGTGCCCCACTGAGGTTCATTCACCTAGGCCGGGCAGTGGAGGCTGACACTGCAGTGTGTCACTGTCACCGTGGAAGACAGAATGTTCCTTAGCTCCGTGAAGGGGTCAGATTCAAAAGGTAGCCAGGGCAGAAACGAATTCAAACTTGAAAATCTAATATGGGAACTTCCTGTGTTCTACTACCAGCACCTAATAAACATTAACTCATTTACTTCTCATTAGCCCGTGGGAGACGTTATGAGGAAACTGAGGCACAGAGAAATTGAGGAGCCTGTGGAAGTTAGTGAGGGGCTGGTGGTTTGGGCTCAGGCGCTAAGGTTCCCGTGTCTGTGTTCTACGTGCCACACCGTGACGTCGCCTGGAAGGGGGTAATGCGGCCCAGGATTGGAAAGTGGCCGGGGGAGTCTGGCACAAGAGACCAAACACAGCCACACAGCCAGGTGACAGGAGAGCTGGCACCACAGGCCGACTGTGGAGGGGTGAAAATTGTCGGGAAAGGTTTTTCCAGATCCCAGATTGCGGCCAATTCGAAAGCATGTCTGAGGTAACAGTGCCATCTAGTGGCCAAACAGCGGGTAGCAATTACCCTCCACGCAAAGATGGAATAAGCCTTGAGAAGGGAAAGTGTCCCAAGTCCGCAGGGAAGCTGTGAACTTCCCCGCCACGTACGGATTCTAAAACGCGGGCGTGTCCCACTGGCATGTCCCTGGAGCAGCCCTCCGTTCCCACACGCCGCCGAACGAGTGGTGGCTACAGGCCAGGTTCCTATGCCAGTTCTGCTCATTACTGCCGAACACTGGGGCAAGCTCGTCCACTTCATCTTCCCTTCTGAAAAACGGGGAAAACAGTATCTACCCCTGTGGGCGCTGTGAAGATCAAGTAAAATAACACATGCCACATGCCAGACATAATACAAGCGTTTAACAAATGTCCGTTGTTGCTGCAGTCCTACCGAACCCCAGAGGGGAGGACCTGGACGCATTAGCCATTAACTAGTGACCTTTAGTGAGCCCACAGGACTGTTCTTGGGGGCGGTGCTTTTTTTTTTACATGCAGTTTTAGGTTTGCTTTTCTCAGGCTTCTGCCTACATTGCTGAGTCATTTCTCTACTCAAAAATATTAGTGGCTCCCAAAGACCCTGAATATCCAAAGCAGTTTCAAGAAAGAACAAAGTTGGAGGTATCATGCTACCTGATATGAAAGTATGCTAAAAGGCAATAGTAATGAAAATCAAACGGCATGGCATAAGAACAGATACACAGGTCAAGGGAACAGAATAGAGAGCCCAGAAATAAATCCATGCCTATATGGTCAATTAATCTAAGGAGGCAAGATTATACAGTAGGGTAAAGATAGTCTATTCAATAAATGACATTGGGAAAACAGGACAGTCACATGCAAAACTATGGAATTGGGCCATTTTCTTACACCATAATATACAAGAACAAACTCAAAGTGGATTACATTCTTAAAGGTAAGACCTGAACCATAAATGTCCTGGAAGAAAACATAGGCAGGAAACTCCACGACATTTCTCTTAGCAATATTTTTTTTGGATATGTCTGCCCAGGCAAGGGAAATAAAAGAAAAAATAAATTGGACTACATCAAGTTTAAAAGTTTTTGCAAAGCAAAGAAAACCATCAACAAAATGAAAAGGCAGCTCACTGAATGGGAGGAGATATTCACCAATAATACATCTGATAAGGGATTAATAACTACAACATGTAAGGCATCCACACAACTTGACACCCCAAAAAATCTGATTAAAAAATAAGCAGACCTGAGTAGTCATTTCTCCAAACAGGACATGCAGATGACCAACAGATGCATGTAAAAATGGTCAACACTTGCTGATGGTCAGTCATCAGAGAAATGCAAATTAAAACCACAATATCACCTTACACCAGTTGGGATGGCTGTCATCCATAAATTAAGAATGTGGAGAAAAGAGAACCCTCGTGCACTCCTGGTGGGAAGGCAGATTGGTGCAGCCACTGTGGGAAACAGCATGGAATTTCCTCAAAAAATTAGTAATAAAACTACCATGCGTTCCAGCAATTCCACTTCTGGGTATTTATCCAAAGAAATCTAAAACACTAACTTGAAAAGATACATGCATCCCCCTTTTCACTGATGCATTATTGACAATAACCAAGATATGGAAGCAACTTAAGTGTCCATCAATAGATGAGTGGATAAAGAAGAAATGGTACATATATACAATGGCTATTCAGCCATAAAAAAGAATCAAATCTTGCCATTTGCCACAACATGGATGGACCTAGAGAGTGTTATGCTAAATGAAATGTCAGACAGAAAAAGATAAATACCATATGAGTTCACTTATACGTGGAATCTAAAAAATAAATAAACAAGCAGAAACAAACCTGTAGTTACAGAGAAAAATCGAAGGTTGCCAGATGGGAGGGGCATTGGGGGGGTGAAAATATAAAATGATTATTAAGAAGTACAAACTGCCAGTTGTAAAAATAACCATGGGGGTATACAGTACAGCACAGGGAATACAGTCAATAACATGGTGATAATCGATGTCAGGTGATACTAGACTTATCCGGGTGCTCGCTTTGTAAGTTACACAGATGTCTAATTGCTATGTTGTGCATCTGAAACTAACATGATGTCAGTTTTAATTATAAAATAAATTATTAATACATTTAAAAAACGATTTTTCACTAGAAGCCACAGACATCTTATAACACACTCCCCTCAGGCTGTCCAGCGGTCCTTTGCTCCCCATCTCCTCCAGCTTCCTCAGTGAGGCCTTCATTGTATAGCACTTGAAGTGATAAAAAATAATTTAAATATAAAATAAATAGATAAGCCCTGACTGTCGTGGCTGTGTGGACTGAGTGCCGACCTGCGGACCAAAGGGTCTCTGGTTTGATTCCCAACCAGGGCACATGCGTGGGCTGTGGGCCAGGTCCCCAGTAGGGGGCGTGTGAGAGGCAACCACACATTGATGTTTCTCTCCTCCCTCTCTTCCCCTCTTTCTAAAAGTAAAATAATAAAATTTTTTAAAAATGTAAAGTTAATAAAAATAATAAGCGGTCATTCAGCCTAACAGATGTCATCCCTACCAGCCCGTCCCAGCGGGGTCCCCTCTGTTCTCAGCCCACCGGCTCCCAGAAGGGGACTGCCCCTCACTCAACCCCACTCCGCCTCCCCGGTCCGCCTTTGACACCACGGGGGCTTTTCAACTCTCTGCCTGGAGTCACCCACTTCCCCTCTAATCATCTTGGATGAACTGGAAAAACACAGGTTTGGAAGCAAATAAGCAACTATTTTATTCTGAAGCTTCATTTTGTAATGAACTTCACTTAAATTTGAGGTCACTTTGCAAAACACAAAGAAGTTCATTTCCAAATTAACCTTGCTCTGGCCTAGTTGCTCATTTACTTCCAAAGCTGAATATTGTTCCCATTAAAAAGTTAACCTTTAGCCTTGAACTTCTCCTGTAGACGTGGGGCTGTGGTGAGTGACTTACTCTTCCCGGTCACAGCCAGCCGTGAGCCAGGCTTCGAGTGGCTGCCTCGAGACGCCACTTTGGCCAGTCCTGGAAGACGCTGAAATCAGGTTTGTGGTCGGGTGTCTTCTGTGGGCTTAGAACTGGGGAAGGAGATGTAGCAGAGGGTGGGGGGATGGGAACAGAGGCCGGACCCTGTGTGAGGCGCCGTGGCTGCCAACTGAGCATTTACAAGGTGGCAACGAGGGATCCTGTTGACAGGGCAGTGAGGGGGCCAACCAAGGAAGGCTTCACTTCAAAGTCGTTCCAGACAGAGGAGGTTCGTTTACTTCAGTCAAGTCTTAGCACCACCTGGTAGAATATTGACCCTTAGGAACGAGGGTCAGAGTATGTTCACTCGAAAGGGTTCTGGGAAATCCGAAAGGCTCAGCCCCTGCCCTTGGGGATGTACTTTATACATTGACCTGTGCGTCCTGGCCGTGGGCAGAGGAACACGGTGATGTGGCTGCTGCTTCTAAAAGGCAAAGGAGGCGACAACTCGCAACTATCAACAACTAAACCTAAAAAACAAAAACCAAGCAAACAACTAGAACAGGAACAGAATCACAGACATGGAGATCACATGGAAGGTTATCAGCAGGGTGACAATGTGGGGAAATGGTACAAGGAATAAAAAGCATAATTGGTAGGTGTAAAACAGACAGGGGGAGGTCAAGAATAGTATAGAAGATGGAAAAGCCAAAACCTACATGTACAACCCATGGACGTTAACTAAGGTGTGGGGGATGCTGGTGGGAGGGGGGTGCAGGGCGGAGGTGGACTAAAGGGGAAAAAAAATTGGGACAATTTAATAGCATAATCAATAAAATATTCTTTTTAAAAAAGGCAAAGGAGTTAATGTTCCATAAACAATTGAGCAGGGTAGCTTCTCTGGGAGAAAGAAGCTTGTTTGGAACTAGGAACCCATGCAGAGTGTTTCGGGACTGTGGTCAGGTCAGGTTGAATCTATGGATCAAGCTCTGGAGAACCACTTCAGAACAGTGATCAAGTCATGGTGGTGGTGGTGTTGTCGACCGAAGAATGTCTAAACTTGTAGAGAATTTTTTTTATAAAAAAATTTATTTCAGCCAAACAGAGGATATACGTAGAAACAAGATCTCAACAGACTGAGAAAAATGCTTCTCAGAACTTTACAGCTTTTAATGCATTTGGGATTAAGGAGGAAAATGGATGCAAGATTGCATGAAGGTGGGAGATAGCAGAGGGGGAATGAGGTTATAGAACAGGTAACAACATCATCTGCTTACTTCTGAGAAGGGCATTTTGAAGGTGTGCTAACCTGAATGCTCAGAAACAGTGGACGGGGCTTGCTGATGGCAAAGGTAAACGTTTTACTAAAGAAGTTATGTGCCTCGGGCACGACTACCCTCCATGACCTCCCTAGTTAAGAATTTATGATCAGATCACTCTGTGAGGTTACTTTTGTAGAATCTCTTTTTCATCCACATTATGAAGATAGATACATGGATCAATAAAACTAACAAGAGAGTCTAGAAATAGGATCAAAATAAAAATAACATTTTGGGATCTGCCTTTTAACAAGAAACAAAACTAACAAAGTCTTTACTCTTTTTTTAAAAAAAAAAGGTTTATTTATTTATTTTTAAAGAGAAGGAGGGAGAAAAAGAGGGAGAGAAACATCCATGTGTGGTTGCCTCTTGCACGCCCCCTACTGGGGACCTGGCACGCAGCCCAGGCATGTGCCCCAAATGGGAATCAAACCAGTGACCCTTTGGCTCACAGGTCCTCACTCAATCCACTGAACTACACTAGCCAGGGCCAAAATCTTTACTCTTAATCACTAGGCTATTCTGCATTTTCCAAGATCCTTTGATTTTTCATAAGATCTCTATGAGATAGGCGGCCATATCCTCATTTTATAGGTAGGTGAGACTTGGAGCTTGTCTAGACCATGTGGAGCAGAACATCATTTGTGGGGTACCAGTTAAGAGATGATGGAAATGTCCCCAAATTCCCACAAGATTCCCCACAGAAAAGGACTGCTGTGAAAGTCTAGATCATAGCAACGAACAGAGAATGTGCTATTGACAGACATCTGTCCTCTCCTTTAACTGTAAGTTTCTTAAGAGCAGACACCGATGTCATATACGTTTTTTCTTTTGTAATCCAATGTCTAGATACATCTGGAGCTTTGTCTCCTGGAGGACAGGGCCACCTTATTGCTGCAGCAGGAGGAAAGGGGTGGGGGTCACCTATCCACTCCAACTGGCCCAGAATTAACATGTCATTTCTACTCCTAGCCTGAGACCAGAACTAATCGTATAATCCTGCTTGTCTTTAATCGACCGGGAAATGTCAAGAAGCACCTGATAAGCTGTAAGTGCTTCTGCCTTCCTGGATGATAGTGTGTACTCAGCAAACCTTGTTGGGTAAACTCATGAGGTCATCTGACACAGGGTTAAAATTATACTGGCCCAGAAATATTCAAATTACTTGAAGCACCTTTCAACCTCCAGAGACTCAGATGAGAATGCATGCGTCAAGAATGCAAATGGATGTACCATTTATTGATGATCTGCTCTATACAAGGCACTGTTCTAGACACTGTAGGCCATGATGGTTAGTCCTCAGGACAGCCCCATGCCACAGGCATTAACATTCTTCTTCCAAAAAGCTCTTGTTCATGGAACATGGGGAGCAACTGGCAGAGCTGTGGTTTGAGCCCACGTCTCCAAGTTACAAAGCTTACAAGAGTCTCTCTTCTTGACTCTGTGGACCCCCTCAGCTACTGACGCCTTATGGACTGAGAAATACAATCTGAAGTAGTTGCCATAGAGAGGAGTGTCAGGACAAAGGCGAAGACAGACAGCTCCATCCCACAGCCGCCTTTCTCCACCCCACCTGCTCTGCCCTCTCCCCTCTCTCCTGCTGCTTGCCCCCCAGGCCTGCCACTGCTAGAGAGAGACACCCCCTCAGGACCCAGAGTCAACAGTGAAAGAATGGGGCCGAGAGTATGTTCTGAACATGTGTGTGGTTGCTGATAGGCACCCTCTATCCTTTGTGAGCAAATGGGGAGGCTGGGATGGCGATCTCCATGCAGGATGCCTTTCCCAAAGGACCAGGTTTTGTGGGAATTATGTGAGCTCACTTTATGCAGCCCCCCCAACCCTAAGGTACCACTGACACTCCACACCGGCTCAAATATCTCCAGAACAAGTCGGAAGGGTTTCTGGTCAGGCTTTGCCATTCTCATCCTGTGAGTTTGGATTATTCACTTGGGCTCTCTGGATTTCCATTTTTGCATCTGTAAAACAGGTCTCAGGTCCATGTACTCTTGGATCGCCCTTTATCTCACCAGGTTATTGTGGTCATCAAAGGGAACACTAGGTGGAAGAGTGTTTTGTAGACTGGTTTAAATGTGTCATTGTTTACGACAGACTAGATAATGAAACCTTCAAATTCTCTCATTGAGTTATGGTTCTGCTAAGGGAAGGGAGCAAATCCGTACATTTTAAATGCCAACTCTCTCTCTAAACCACACTTGGCTGCACGTGTTGGGCTCTGTTCATGATGCTTAAGAGGCAGGCCGTGGGAGTCAGAACATATGGTGGGCGAAGTATTTTAATCTCTCTGAACTTCGGGATTCTCATCTGTGCTATGTGGAGCATAATATTTGTGTTTGCGGGTTATCAAGGGTTGCAAAATGAATGCAGGTGAAACACTTTACACAGCACTTGATAAATGGTTGCAATTTTATCGTCGTTATTATTATTCAGGAGCTATCCTGCTGTCTCTAGGGGTCTTTGTGTAATCAAATTATTCCACTGCCCAGTAGAAGAAGGAAATCCCCAACCTTTCAAAACACCATGGGAGCATAGAGGTCCATGTCTCCCAGCATGCCCTGCACAGCCTCCATACCCCATAGAGAGCACACAATTCACGACATGACTATATCCCAGAACTCTACTCAGAAGTCTTGTGTTTAGAATTCAGCACACATTTTCCCAAAGAAAGAATGCTTTTTTTAGAGAGAGAGAGAAAGAGAGGGAGAGAAACATCAATGTGTGGTTGCCCCTTGCGCATCCCCCCACTGGGGACCTGGCCTGCAACCCAGGCATGTATCCTGACTGGGAATCGAACTGGCGACCCTTTGCTTCGAAGTCTGGAGCTCAATCCACTGAGCCACACCAGCCAGGGGAGAAAGAATGCTTTTAAAATAATGGTTGGATTCCTGAGTAACTGAAAATATCCAGAATCCTTAAAAATACACCAACATGAATTATATGAGTCATATGAAATGTTCAAAGGAAAATAACTTGGGTGAGCTGGGTGGAGCTGGGGGGAAGGGGGAAATTTAATCAACTGTAATAGCATAAACAATAAAATATTTTAAAAAGAGGAAACTTTGCTTTTGAGGAAATACAAAAAGTAAAATAAAAATCTAGTTAAAAAAAACTTGTTATCTATCTAAGTGCATTAGATCCAATAGCAGTATTGCAAAAGCAAAGCCTGCCTTGAGATTCCTTCCAGCCTCAGTCCGCGTCCTTGCCCTTTCCCTTGGTCAGGAAAAACAATCTGAACCTCAGACTGTAAACACCAGATAACATTGAATATCCTTGTTCTTTGCTTTTAGACCCCTTATCATTCCTGGTATGCTAGTTGTACTTCATCAATTGCTTACCGTGAGGCCAAAGGCCTAAACAGATGGCATGAGCTTAAGTGAGCTAAAATTCTTAGTTCGCAAGAGACTTTTACCCTTTCCTCTCTTTTCTCTTCCTCTTGGGCAGTTGGGGTAGAGAAGAGAAAAAGAATGGAAATCAAATACAAGCAAAGCATTAGATAACTTGGATCCTCCCTTAATGTCTGGTAGCTTTAAGTCTTGCATGGATCAAACTGAAATATGTAAAATCATCTAGAGCCAAGTTTCCCTCCCAAACTTAGGAAAAGCTTTGAATAACACGGTTGTCATGCTCTTCAACTATCAGCCTTATATTGGACCTCTAATAAAAATAATGGACTCAGTACTCCACTAAGCTTTACACATACTATGAAGAGAAATATGCACCGTGATTGTATTTTCACGCTACGAAATTCTCTTAAATTTGACATAAGCAGTTTATGTGAACCCCCTATTTGGCTGTGCACCATGAAATTGAAATTGGAGAACATCTACCTTTAGAGGCTACCAGGAGACACAATTCTGGGCTTTCCTCTGTAATAATTTACTGCCTCATTCTCTTCCAATGCTGAGGGGGCAGGGTGGTGGGGGCAGAAAGAGTGAGTGGCCACTACTTTCTGTCTACTTCCCAGAGAAGTGTATAGAAAAGGAAATAGTAGATAGAAGTGTACTAAAATGGTGTTTGTTATATATAAGGATGCTAGCTTATTTCACTTGCAAGTGGCTTTCAGATCATATAATTCCCACTATTCCAGGCAAGTAATTCTGAGTGAGTCTGAGCCATTTTTCTTGGATTAGACACAAGTGTTGTTGAGTTTCTATGCTAGAAATCTGCAGAAGGATGTTTCTGTGGGGACTGGTTGAGACACTGGGAGTTGTGTCAACATAAAAAGTGCCCAAACCAGTAGCGTACGTGCGTAAGAGTTTCTCTGAGCCAAACTGATTATGTGTGTCAGGGAGCAAGATTTCAAATGCTCCAGAGAAGAACAGTTTTGCTGTTTCTTTTATGCATTTGAAAGTGAGGAAGGGGCCTAATTACATGAAGATGGAAGAAAACAACACAGGGGTTGTATAACAGGATAGTTAACTCTTGCAGATGGTTACCTCTTAGAAGAGGTGATCTGAAAGGGAGGTTCATGCATTAAAAGGAAGGTTTTTATTACTAAATTTATTGGGGTGACACTGGTTAATAGGATCAGGTTTGGAAGGGGGAATTTTAGTGGTGTGTTAACTTAGATGCACATAAAAAATGGACAGGATTAGCTTAAGGCAAAGAGAAGCCTTTTTGCTAAAGAAGTTATATGACTCGGATATGACTACCCACCATGACCTGCCCAACTAGGAATTTATGATCACATCACCCTGTGAGGTTACTTTCCACAGAAACACTTTTTTCATCCACAGTTGAAACATGGTGGAGAATTCTTATCCAAAAAGGCAGAAAGAGATGACAGACAGGGGAAAGTTAAATTGAAGTAATGAGCGTTTATGAACAGCCATGCAGTGCTACATACTAGCTTGACACTCAGGGATACAAAGTGTGCTGGGGTCCCAGGTTCAGTGACTCACTAGGAAGACAGCCTGTCTTTGAGGCTACGAGTTATTACAGTGAAAGAGTGCACAGCAAAATTAGCAAAGAGAAAGACCTCACAGGGCAAAGTCTGAAGGAAATGAGGTATAAGCGTCCACGAGTGTCTCCCCGTGGAGTTACACAGGATGCACTTCATTCCTGCAGCAGTGAGTGGCAACAGCACCTGTGCAGTGTCGTCTGCCAGGAAGTTCATTTCAGAGACTCAGCGCCCACGGTGGTTTGGGTGTGGGGGTGGGTCATGCGGACACTCTCTGTCTGACCCATACCAAAATTCTAGACTCTCTGAGGGAACATAGATGTTCAGCATAAACCACATCCTTTGTGCAATGAGTTGAGACACAGCAAGTCAGTCTTATAAGGAAATGGTAAGAACCTTCCTGATATCCAAGTTTCCAGGCTCCAGCCCAAGACCGACCTTGCAAGCAGGCTGTTTGTGTGGTAGCTTTCCCAGGCTGCTGTGTTAACTCTTTTTTGCACAGGGAGATTGAGATGTGATTGCAATGCAGTTGGATAAACTCAATGATTAATTAATTCATTCGATTATACTTACTGAGCCCTTAAAGCATTGGGTAGAAAGGAGATAAATTAAACAGGGTCGTTGTACTTTGTCAAACTCAACTCAGCACCTCAACAGCCCCCTGCCCACCCACTGACAAGGTGAGCTGCCTAGAAAAGGCTCCGTGGCTGTGCTCCAATTCCCCTCCTCACCTCCGTCTGGAACCCACTGCACTTCCCAGGGGCTCTGTTCTCTGCCTGCCACGTAATTTCTTTCTGCTTAGCTCGTGACGTGTTTGGGCTACTTCTCTCTCTGATTTGACTAGGTTCTGACCCAGCCCCTGATGCCCTCAGACCAGCTCCGCCCCATCCCTACCCACCACCAGGACTCCCACATTTCATCTGGCCGCCGTGGTCCCTCGCCCACTAGAGGAACTGCCCCATTTGTGTTTGAAGCCCTAGCTCCCAGGGCTTATCTTCACCCCTCAGGGATGTCAAAGTCACGCAGTTTCTACTCCGAGCCTTGGCTCATTGGAACCCTGTTGCCAACTGCTGGGGAGATGCCCAGAGAGGAACCCCAGGTCCATCAGCCCTTCCTAGTGGAGCCCTCTCACGCAGGGGCTCTACACACTGTGACGCACTGCCACCCGAGCCTTTACTTGAGCTTCCCTGTGGCTACTGTCATCACGGCCCTCCCCCCTTCCAGAAGGATTCACCCCCAAGCCCTGCCCTCCTTCCTCTTTCAAAAGGACCAGCTCCAGGTTTTCAGGGTCCAGAGTGAGGATGGGAAAAAGTGGAAGTAGCATGTTCTTTTCCTGGTCTGAAAATTAGCAACATGTTCAATGACCCAGCCCAGGAGTTGGAAAAAAAATCAGCGTCCTCCCTGATATCAACCACAGCTCCAAGCGATGCAGACATCAGTGCCTAGAAACTCCCAGGTGTGAGTGTCAGCTCGTCCCAACTTCCCTGCCCTGATGGGTCTCTTCCCCAAAAGGCACAGCCCTCCAACACATTCAGAGTGGCTCAAATAACCAGGAAAAACCTCCAGGAAATGAAACCGGTGAGACAGGGACCAGATCCTGGGAAGCTATGAATGCCAGGTTGTGAGCACCTGAAAGGTGTGATCAGACTCACACTTCAGAAAAGTCCTGGGCAGCTGGAGGCAGGTGAGATGAAGAGTGAACCCAGAGGCTAAGAGACAAAGATAAGACATTTTTTTAAAATAATCTGATAAGTGGTGGCAGGGGCTCCACTAGATCTGAAGCAGTGGGCTTAGTGGGCTGGGTCATTGAACATGTCGCTAATTTTGAGACCAGGAAAACAACATGTTACCTCCACTTTTTCCCATCCCCGCTCTGAACCCTGAAAACCTGGAGCTGGTCCTTTTGAAAGAGGAAAGAGGACAGGGCTTGGGGGTGAATCCTTCTGGAAGGGCAGAGGGCCGTGATGACAGTAGCCACAGGAGGGGACAGACATGAGGAATATTCAGAAGACCAAACACTCAGGCGCTGGGGGAGGGGGGGCGGAGGAGTGCAGTGTGTGTGACCCCCGCAGGCAGGCCGGCTGGCCTTGGAACCTTTGGCAGCACCTCCGCTGAGATAAGAACACAGGGGTTAATGATGGCTCCAAACAGCTTCCTGCTGTAAACCCCTTCTCCCTGTCCCCTCCCGCTGAGGAGTTTCTGGTTTCCCTTTGAAGGACCAGAAATGCCCTTGGTGTGTCTGACAGACTTTGAGGCCCGTGCGCGGAAGCGTCTGTCCAAGTCCACTTGGGACTACATCGAAGGAGCCGCCGGCGAAGGCTTCACCAAGGATGACAACATCGCAGCATTTAAAAAGTTTGACCTTCTGTATCCTTTCTGTCGTTAAACTGGTTCAGAGCTCCTTGGAAGGGCCCAGTCCTGGTTTCTGCCAGCAAAGAACACAGAGAACTCAGATACAATACTGGTTTTTCTGTTGTCATTCGGAGTTTGGGAGGGTCTGGGGGGAGAAGATAGCTGGGGAGAGGATGGTTGGGGAGAATTCATCCTAGTGCCTCCACAAAACCAGCACCAGTAAGTCACCCTCTCGCCCTGCCTTAGCGCAACTTGGCCACCTGGGAAGATAAGATAAGAACCTAAAGGTCACCGCTCACCTGGGCAGGGCGGAGAGCCTGCTGCGTGGGCCTGAACTCCCTGAGTTCTTAAGCCTCTGGCTTGGAAGAGAGATGTTTGAAAGGAGAGAGAACTCAGGGCGGGAGGAAACGTGCAGACCCAAGGAGGCTGGCGAGGAGGGAAGACGGATTCCAGGTGGAAGGGCAGGACTAGAGCGGCAGCGGGCAGAGCACGGATCAGCAGACAGCAGCCCACAGGCCAGGCGGGCCCACCACCATTTTTTTTGGATGGCGAACAAGCCAAGCATGCTGTTTTTTTTCTCATAAAACAGTTGAAAAAGCCCAAAAGGAGAATAGTAACTTGCCACACACAAAAATTACACAAAATTCAAATTCCGGTGTCTGTAAGAAAAGTCTTATGAGAACACAGCTGTGTTCCATCTCTGGCCACTGTCACATGACAGCAGCAGAGCTGCGTAATCGGGACGAGGACAGCATGGCCCACAGAGCCTTGAGCGCTGGCAGCCTGGCCCTTTTTGGAAAGCTTGCTGACGCCCGTGATAGAGGGGTCCGGAAAAACGGGGTATGAGGTGAACACTAGGTCTGTGTTTTCACGCTTATTTAGCTCTATGCTCAGCACTTCAATGGCTTCACTTCATTCTGTCGTCACAGGACTCGTAGGAAACGGGGACCATTCCCCCCATTCCAGGGATGAAGTAACTGAGCCTGTGTGACTGAGTTGGCACAGTTAGTGTTTCTGGGAAAATCTCCCTAAATTTGTGTACAGGAACAATAATATTTGGTGAAAGACAAGCATTTTCGGACCCTAAGGCTTAGAATCTGTTGGCTTTAACGTGTTTTATATACTTGCCATTGGACAATGTTCCTACCTTCTCCTAAAGCAGTGGTTCAGACAAGCCTTTAAATGGACTGGCCTCTAGCAAGGAGAGCACCGTGATCCCTCTCTGGGCTTCGTGCTCTTTCCATGACCTTTTCTTATCTTAGAGACTTGTTCTAACCTGAGAGGGAAGAGCCTGGAACTCTCAGCTTCTTATTTCTTCCTTTTCTGGTCCTTGTTCCGATGAATCAGCGGAGCACCCAAGTGCTCAGAGCCTGGTCCGGGTGGCAGGGTTCAGACACAGACCTGTGAAGGAGCGAGGCAGGGGCTGGTGGGGACCGCAAGTGCACTGGGAGTGCAGAGGCAGCGGGTCCCAGTGGAACGAGGGTTGTGAGAGGCTTCCTGGGGGAGGGGAGCCTCCAGCTGGTCTATGCTGCCTGTTGGGCTGCCAACCAAGGGAGCGCTGCCAACCAAGGGAGCGCTGCCAGAGGTTTCTGGGGGCCCCAGTCGGGTCTCACCCGGCTCCAGGAATCGGGAGGCCCCAGCACCAGGCGGCGCCTCCATGCTGGAGAGTAATCCCACCGATAGAAAACCTCTTTATTGTCCAGCACAGAATCCGCCTCCGTCCTCGGTATCTGAGAGATGTGTCGCAGGTGGACACCCGGACCACAATCCAAGGGGAGGAGATCAGTGCCCCAATTTGCATCTCACCTACAGGTTTCCACCGCCTTGCTTGGCCAGACGGGGAGATGAGCACAGCCCGAGGTGAGAACCGACCACACCTGAGGCCCCCTTTCAGGGTGCTGCAGAGCGCAGGAGGTGTCCTTCCGCCGGGGCGGACAGCTCCAGGGTTTCTCCAGAGAAGGGGCTTGGGGACAGCGAATGGCTGGAATTAAGGCGGGTGGAAAAGCAATGTTCAACACTGTGTTTGCATAACATTTCCCCTAAGACTGAGAAAATACCCATATTCCATGATAAACAATGGTTAGGGTGGAAGAGAAGCTACTGATGAATAGAAGGGTGCAAAACCCCCAACGCCATCCAACAGAAGGCGCTGGCCCCTCCGAATCACACTGTCTGTGGGGAAAGGGATGCTCCGTGCGGCCCCGGGGGTCAGGGCTCTCACTGACCCCTCGTGGGGCTGAGTGGCGAGTCTCTGAACTTAGGATGAGATGAGAGGCACGGCTTTAGGTGCTAACACAGGGCCCCGGCAAGTGTTTTGTCCAAACGTTCCATCTTCCTGTTGCTCGATTGACCTTGTCATCTTATCTGACAGTTTCTTATTGGGTTATGCCTCCTTCCTCGTTGTCCCCACTCTCTGCCCCACCCCCATCGCACCAAAAATAATGAGAAGGAAAGGGGAAGGGGCGAAGCAGGGCTGAAGATATTCTTGTGACTCCTTTGTAATCTTCACTCTAGGCCTAATCTGTTTTCTGCGAGTTTCCATGGGGTCTTTTCCTTCAACTACGCGCTATAGGAAGCAGTGAATCCTCGGATTCTAGAGCTGAAAGTGACACTCGTCTGGGTTAGGAACCAAGTCTAGCGAGGGTGAAACGTGAACATCCTATATGAATGTGCCTTCTCAGCTAAATCTTCATGGTTGAATGTGTTGTTTTGGATGTGGGGCTAATGAACAGGGTATCTCCTATTGACATTAGGAGTCTATTAATTTTTAACTATTAATTTTTGATTAGGTTCAAATACTCTGCCCATGGGTTGTAGAATGGTAGTGACATTAACCTGCTGGAGAATCCAGCTGAAAATGCACAAAGTAGGAAATGTGAAACATGCAATGCAGCAGGAGTGTCAACGTCATTGTCACCAACATCAACATCCCTGCCACTAGCATTTGCATAGCATATCACTTCATAATTTTAAAAATGTTTCCATATCTAGTATCTTACCTAATCTCCCAACAACCCTGTAAGAGGTATTATTTCCCCTCGTTTGCAAATAAGAAAAATGAGATTCAAGACCACACAGCTTAGATGTGGTAGAAGTAACAGCTTCAGACCTCATGCTTTTTCCACTACAAACCTCAGCTTTTGCCACCTTTAACACCCTTTTGCATCATTAACACGTTCACTAGAAGCCCATTGTCCTATCTGACAACTGCAATGTGTCCAACACAAGTTGGGACACTAAATGGTCTCTCTAGCTGGAAATATTTTTACATGGAGTACAGGGTTTAGAACACAGGTTGCAGAGGGAGACCCACACTCATTTAGACCTCCCAGTCTGATCAAACCCTTCTATACCTGCCTCACAGAGAAGCAAAAGGAAATCAAGCTTTATCTTCACTCCCAGGGCAAGCTGGCCAGAGGCAATGCAGACTCCTGGGGCTTTGCACCCTAGCCTAGAACACATCTGCCCTCCAACCTGAGCTGTGTCACTTGCTTTGCAGCTGCCCAAGCAGCCGGCATCTGCTATATCACCAGCACATACGCCAGCTGTACCCTTGAAGACATCGTCGCTGCTGCCCCCAGAGGCTTCCGGTGGTTCCAACTCTACGTGCAGACAGATCGGCAGCTAAACAAACAGCTGATCCAGAAGGTAGAATCCTTGGGTTTCAGAGCTCTAGTAATCACCGTGGACGTGCCCAAACTTGGCAACAGGCGACAAGACATCCGAAACCAATTGAACTTGAAGACGAATTTATTGCTAAAGGATCTTCGATCACTTACAGAGGTAGGAAAGCTACCAGGTCCAAAGGGCAGGCATTGCAGAAGGCAAATTTCCTCCTCCAGTTCCTCCCTTTGTTCTTTCCACAAGAATCCACGGAGTGCCTGCACTGCGCCAGACACTGGGGATGCAGCCATTCAAAAATCAGATCTGGTTCCTGCTTCCCAGAGAGTCTGACAAACTGAATATAAGACAAAATGTTCTCACTCCAGGAGCTGTCCGATCTGTCACCAGAAGTGTTCTGGCCAGGCCTGAGTGCTGAGAAATGAGAAAGCTATAGAAAGGATTTTGCATGGATGAGAGAGTAAACTAAACAAGTTCTTTCAACATTTTCTACTTTATGGCACACTTAGAAAATGATCATTTTGGATGGCACACTTAGATAAGCCAACCCTCTAATGGGGATGCTCTGAAGCACGAGGGTGTTATGACACATTTGTTTGGAATCTCTGAACTAGATGACTGCAAAAGGCGCTTCCCCCATTAAAATCCTACAGTCAGATGGGAGGGAGTGCCCCAGAGAGAGAAAGTCATGATGAAGCTGCCATTCCTTGGCTACAGTAGTGATAGTGATAACAGACTTTATGATCAATGGGCAGCTGTGATATCCAGCCAAGAGATACTCAATAGTTCAACTCATTAAGTTATATACAACTTGGCCTTGAGGTTTTCAGGAATCTTTATCTCAGATTCCAGAAATGAATGGATGTTTGGTGTCCATGGTGAGTCAAGAGTCAGTATTGCAGAATATCTGATTTAGGATTATTGAAGTATTACTTAGTTCTTACTACCCTGTGCATATCTCGACTCTAACACATTACATTAGCCCATAACTGATAAATGCTTTTGCCTACCCACTTTACTTATTAAACTCTGAGTTCTTTCAATGTAGGGCTGTCTTTGTATTCCCAGATCCTGGCATAAAGATTGAACAGGGACACAATTAATGGTTAATAAATAAGCAAATGAAGTAGAAATTATTTTTATTAAGCAAAGGAGCCAGAAGTAGGGTGATTTTTGTAGCTCCTCTTTTCAAGCTTATAAGTGTCTCTTTCCACTTAGCAGTCGCTGGCTCCCTAAATGTGCCTCGTCTTTGGAATGGATCAAGCAGTCTCAAGGAGTTCAGGACTAAGGTTCTCTTTTATTCCCCACAGAGGAATTCAACAGCCCATCTGCAGATGTTTCCCATTGACTCAGCCTTCTGCTGGGATGATCTCTCCTGGGTCCAAAGCATAACTCAGTTGCCCATCATCCTTAAAGGGATCTTGACAAAAGAGGATGCAGAGTTAGCCTTGAAGCACAAAGTCCACGGCATCATCGTTTCCAACCATGGCGGGAGGCAACTTGATGATGTCCCTGCTTCTGTAAGTAGGATGACCCCAGAGGGGGCGTGTTTGTGAGTGGTGCATGTATGTGTGTTTGTGAGAGGGGGGTGTGTGTGTCTACAGCAAGGCACTCTGGGCAGTTTGGTGCACACTGCCCTCTCCCTTACCACATGTGTTGGTATACGCATGTACGTTTTAAGAACGTTTAATCAACAATAATAGCCCAGTGTGTATAAGGCTATTTTTACACACTTTACATTTAGCATCTCTAAAGCTTACAGCAGTCCTGCAAGATGGGTATTATTGCCCCCTTGTTACAGATGGGGACCCTGGAGTTAACTGATGTTAAGTAACTTTTCCAGTTGACACAGTTAGTAAGCAATTAATGTGGGATTGAAATTAGAGGTATTTCAAAAGCACTGGGTCTCCTGCCTTCTGGAAGAAGCGTTCAGCTGGAAGGTCGCCTGTCCGCATGGATGGTCACCTCGTATTTCCTCATATGACACAACCCAGGAAGGGACAGTGTATCACTGAAGCTAATAAACAACCGTCTTTCACAACACAACTTTAATATGCCCAATGAATCCTTTGGTAAAAATTTATGACACTGTTGGTTTTCCTGTCATGTGAATTTATGTCCATTAGAGATAAGAGTTTGAGGAAAGAACGTGAAGAGAGAGGCAGAGAAAGGATCTTGAAATGGGAATTGTTGATTTATGTTCATGAAGATACATATTTTCAAAATATACATTTTCATGAAGCTTATTTCCAAGACTCTTCTATTATTGCTTGACTCATTTTAAGAAAGAAAAGTAGATTTTTCCCTATTAAGGTTTTTTTGGTCTTTTTATTATATGTGTAAAGCATGTGCACTCTAGTTAAATTATAAAATACATAAAAGCAAAAAATAAGATAGAAATTACCCTTATTTTTATCACTATTGTTAATGTCAACATTTTGGGAATTGTGTTTATCAACTTCATAATACAAATTTAACATTTTAGGTTTGAAAAATGATGCATAATATTTTGTCATTTTTTTCTTTTTCCTTACAAATATACTAAGGGCATTACATTATTTCAATTATATATGCTCCTCTTAATTTTAATGATGTATGAATGCACAATTTATTATTTTTAAATTTACTTTTCAATTACCGTTGATATGCAATATTATGTTAGTTTCAGGTGTACAGCATAGTGATAAGACCTTTATGTACCTTACGATTATGTACCTTATGATAACCCAATTAAGTCTAGTGCTTGTCTGACACTGTACATAGTTATTCCAGTATTACTGACTATCTTCCCTGTGCCATACTCTGCATGCCTGTGACTGCTTTTGTAACTGGCAACCTGTACTGCTTAATCATGAAAGGACGGTTTATATAACACACTTCCTGTTGTTGAACATATGGATTGCTTCTAAGCTTCCACTGTTGTAAACAATGCATCAGTGACCATCCTTAAAGCTTTAGCACTTTCTCAGTTACTTTGGCAAAACAAATACCAGGAAATACAAAAGCCACTGGCTTGAACTCCCTGGCCCTCGCCCAGGTGGAGGGGACACCCCTGTCCCACGATGCCCTAAAAGTCAAAATGGAAACCTTCAGGCCACACGTGTCCCTCCTTTCAGATCGACGCCTTGACGGAGGTGGTGGCTGCTGTGAAAGGGAAGCTGGAAGTGTACCTGGACGGTGGGGTCCGAACCGGCAACGACGTGCTCAAGGCTCTGGCCCTTGGGGCGAAGTGCGTTTTCCTGGGGAGACCAGTCCTCTGGGGGCTTGCTTGCAAGGTGAGACCAAAATGAAAACCAACTGGGAGAAACCACGTTTCTCATTCATTTGCACGCTTTTCACTTTTCTGTGGGTTAGCCCCCAAGCTTAACCACTTTTTGAGGTGCCCCAGAGTCCTGAAGAGCGGCCACACCAGGCCGCACTGCCGTGCTTCCTCAGCAGCTGCTGCAGATTCTCAGGAGCTCTGACCCCTTCTTTTCCTCTTGGCGCTTCCTTATCCTCGACCTAGTCCCGACTTCGCAGATACTGCCATCCCCGCCACCACATCTCTGAGCACGCCTAGAATTTATACTCGGCTCTGGGTCACAATGTTCCTTCCTGCCTCAGGGTGAACATGGTGTCGAGGAAGTTCTGAACATTTTAAAAGACGAGTTCCACACTTCCATGGCCCTTACAGGTACGTGTGTCCCGTTCTTTTCCTGATTTGGAACTGAAAGCCAGAGGTCTAAGGAGCAGGAGTGGTGGCCCCTCCTTCTAGCCACCTCTCCCCAGCCCAAGGGTGACAGGAGAGACAGCCGGAAAGAACTGTCCCAAACAAAGCTTCGTCTTTGATACTTCTTAATCTGAAAGGACGGTTTCTATAACACACTTCCTGTTGAACATCTGGATCGCTTCTAGGCTTCTGCTGTTGTAAACAATGCATCAGTGACCATCCTTAAAGCTTTAGCACTTTCTTGATTCCTTCTGTAAGACAAATTCCAGGAAATCAAAAGCCACCTGCTTGGACTTCCTGGGCCTCGCCCACGTGGAGGGGGCACCCCCGTCCCACGATTAAGATGTACAAAAGCAGATGTGATTTCACACTATGGGAGAGAGGGTTCCATGTTACATTGCACTGTTCAGAGGATATCAGGCTCATTGGATATGGTATTGAGTGTCCTTTTAAAGTAATATTCACGGACCATGACAAGTCAAGAAATAATGTCAAAGAGGAAGCATGGAGGGGCTGGGGAGAGAGATACAAACCGGAGGAGAGAAGGGGAAGAAGGAGGAGCATCGTCCCTCGTAACCACAGACAGACAGCAAGACAGACCTGAGTGGCTCAAAGTTACACAGATTTCAGTCAAAAATGAAATTATTGTAAACTGGTGCTCATAAAAACTTCTAAGTTTTTAGCAAAGCTCAGAATCCCAATTATCTCATAAAATAGTTGTTCTTTACTAATGATATTAGCTTTCCTCTTAATTGCACTTAGTTTTGAGCTTTTAGTTTGTATTTTTCTAATTCTAAGTGGCTCAATTCTAAACGACCCAAAGTCACCAAGCACCACCTCGAGGGAGAGGAGGACACCAGCGTGAATGGAAGGCACACGGGCGTCTTCCGGCCCCGGGCCAGGGGAAGTGGGGGGCATCTTCACCTGCATGTCTGTGGATTCCCGGAGGTTGAAATGACTTGTCCTGCTCGCCAGATATTTTCTCCGTTCTTGTAAAATGAGGCCTAAACCTTTTTTTAACAATAGCCTGATTGGGGAATTCACAATAATAAAGCTTCATTATTCCCCCCAAAGTTAACATGTAGTAATCCCTGAAGTGTAAATGGTGCTGGAAACTCTATTTCTGAGATAGAGAGTGGAGCAGGAGGGGGACACTTTCATGCCTGAGATTTTGTACTCCTCTTCCTCCTAATTGTTCTTATTGTTTTAAAAGTATTGTTTAAAAAGCAGTAATCACAACCAAACATGGGCGGAGAAGGTGGTTCAGGGAGGAAGAGAAAGAATAGGAAACCCAGGAGAAAGGCACGCCTGGGCATCCTTCGAGAGACGCTGGCCCAGGGAAGACCCCCAGACTGGTCCCTGGAGAGAGGGGATCTCAGGTTTGGGGACCTGTGCTGTTGATGGAACTCAGCAAAATACAAAATCGTAGTGTGCAACCCCAGATACTCTGTCACTCCCTACCCCTTCCCTGCACGATGCGTGAAGACGCCTGACACAAAACGGGCACCTGGGAGGTGACCGGTCAGCGTGACCTCTGTCTCCTAATTCCCCCGGAAATGTGCGTTACGTCTCCTTTCGTCCCTGTGACATCACCACCCAGGGAGGAGACCCCTTAACGCCATTGCTGAAAACAAACTACGTTTAAAAGCAATGTTCTTCCAACCATGAGACCAATTTCTGACGTTTTTACATTTATAAAAAGGTTAAAACTGTTTGTCTTGAAAAACAAAAATGTGCACATATAAATCCTATCAACACAAGGCCGCACAGACCTCACTAGGTTGTCACCCCTTATCGACAGACGAACATCCAAAGCCGTAGAGCATTTCATAGAAGTGTGTTTGAGGCAGACAGCAGGCACGCCTGGACACGAGAGAGAGAGAGAGAACTGTTTCCACCGCGGGGACTGTTTCCACAGAGGTGCGCACCTCCAGGAAAGGTCCGGGTGGCAGGGTCAGCATGAGAAATGCTCAGACCTGTAGAGAACTGCGTTTGAACCAACCTGAGGACAATTGCCGGGAAGCAAAATCTCAACAGACGGAGAAAATGCTCCGGAAAACGGCAGTTTTCCCACTTGTCTTATACATCAGAATCCAAGAGGAAGACGTCAGGGGGTTACATGAATCAAGGCAGGGAAATCTCTGGAATCAGATTAAAAGTAAAACGAGAGGACACGTACTTCTTTTACACTGGTGACACGTACAGGATAGTTAGCAGTTAACGTGACAATTATAACTGTGAGGGGATTTGCGGCCGCTGCCCTGGTTGGTGGACATGCTTTGAGGGGAAAAAGGAAATTACTTTGACATTCCAGAGGTATGTTATCAGGTATGTTATCATAGATGCAAAAAAGAGGACAGGCAGACTCGGTTAAGGTAAAGACTGACCTTTGTTAGGGAACATCACTGGCCTGGGACAGGACTAGCTGCCGTAAACTGCCTGCGGTAAGAAATTCTGATTTCAGACCATCCTGTGTGGTTGCTTTGGTCTGTGAGTTTGCAAGGCCGGCCGTGCCGCCTCCCCTGAGCTTGTCAGATTAGCATGTGACCCGTTTTCACCCACGGCAGCTTCTTTTGTGGCTCTGGAATTAAGGAGGGAAGGTTACAGGAAGGTGGGGGAAATCAAGGCAGAGACTGGATTACAAAATAGTTCATGACACTCTCTGCTCTGCTGAGGGTGCTTGTTTCCGAACAGAGGAACTGAGGCATTTCAAAAGTACACTGACCTCAATGCACAGACACCAGCGACAGGCCTTGCTTAAGGCAACGGTAAACCTTTTACTAAAGAAGTTATGTGGCTGGAGGGTGATGACCCACCCAGATCTTCGTGGTTAGGAATTTATACTCAGATCACACTCTGTGAGGTTACTTTCCATAACCCACTCCCCCTTTTTGGTCCACAGTTTAAATATTATTTTCCCTACAATACATAACCAAAGATTTTTTTTTGGGGGGGGGCATCTCTGTGCTCCTTGAGTAAGTCAGCCTACTGTGAAGTCCCACTGCTCTCTCCCCTGGGGAAACCCACGGCTCTTAAGGTCACTGTCAGTACTGAGGAGAGCTGCCTGTGGCTCCGAATACTTGCTTCAGCTGGATGAGTTCACTTTACTGGTTACTTGGGCTACTGTTTCTGTCCATTGCAGTCGTCCTAGGCATGAAACTCAACTCTGTCCTCTCTTTCCATTTTTAGGAAAAGACCCTCCTATGAGTTCTATCTTTGTAATGCATTTTGCTGAAGTTACGTTTTGGGAGGCGAAGGTGCCTGCATCAGGGAGGTGGAAAGAACTCCCGGGGAAGCAGTGCACGTCCTGTTAGCGAATCCCGGCAGCCTTCTCGTCACCAGGGCTGTTGCACTGTCTCCTGGAGCCCACGGTCCTCCAGCCCGTGGTCGCTTCTGTTCCTCTTCCTCCCTCCTCTTTTCACTTCTTACTGAAGTTCCCTTCGGTCCCTGTGCCTAATCTCAGCTCTAGTCCTAAATTTGCATTCTAATTAAGACCAGTCACTACAGAGGGGAGTTCATTTCCAGACCTTCTCCTTAGAAGGCAGCTGCTGCATGAAATCCTTACCCCGGTCCCCTGCTATCCCTGAGTCACTTCCTCCTTGACAGATGAGCCCCACAGCCCTGAGCCTTGTCAAGACTGAGATAAAGGTCAAGGGTATCTACTGCACATATAAATAGCTTTAAAAATGCCGAAATGTTGTTTTTACATTTTTACCATGCCACTTTGACATGGCTGTCAAAAGGAGACCAGAACACGGGCCCCCAAAATAATTCCCAGCATAATCTGAATGGCACGATTCATTCTGGATACATAGTGATTTCTCAGGGTGGGCCTGATGCATTCGGGGCTGACTCTGACTGGATCACCCATACCTAGGCCAGGTGGGTCTCTGGTGCCTCAGAGAAAGGAGTTTTTTATTTATTTTTAATTATTTTTTTGCATTTACATTAATTTATTTCTTATTGTATTTTTTCCATTACTATTTAGTCCCCTTAGTTTTTTACCTTTTGCGACAATATGGAGAACGTTATGCTAAGCAAAATAAACCAGTCAGAATAAGACAAATAGCATATAATTTCACTCGTGGAATCTAATAAACAAATGGAACTAACAAGCAAAATAGAGACAGACTCATAGCTAGAGAGCCTCTGGACAGCTAAGGTGGGTGGAGGGATTGAGCAAAAAGGAAAAAGGGCCCATGGACACAGAACAGAGCTTTTGACTGCCTTGTTCTTTTAGGCTGCCGGTCGGTTGCTGAGATCAATCGGAACCTGATCCAGTTTCCCAGGTTGTGAAAAACGAGCTGACGGGTCGGCTGAGGCGCCCACAGGAGGAAGGCACAGTCAGAGCGTGCGTGGGATGCTGACCTGCCTCGGCCCCGCCCCGTCCAGCGGCGCCGCCACTTCACCCCCATGCTCCAGGCCCCAAGCCCGCACCTCCCTCAAATGCGCCGTGCACTTGTCTGCCCCGCTGCTTTTCACATTTAGAAAGAGAGAATCAAGGATGGTAGTATTAGTCCTGCTTGCCTATACTGGGTGCTCCCAGAAGCCAGAATTCAAGAAAAGTGAACACCCAGACTTCGAAATCCTCAGTCCCTTTGAGTCTTCTCAGAATAAAAGATCCTAAGAGGACAGGTCAGCAATGACTGCAACAGCTAGTGGATTGTATTTTCGTACATCCTCTGTATCTCTATGAAATAACGATAGGAGTTTTACGGTGGACACAAGCACTATCCATATAAATTATTCCCCAACAAAAATCATACTCCCTAACTGTCAAACAGGGCAGGAAAGGTCTTTTCTAGAAGAAAGATGAAAGAAGGAAGGTAAAGCTGCTAATGTAGTTGTAATACTTAGAAGAGTAGCGGGTACTTTATAGAATCATGATCTTTGAAAAGAGGCCCAGGAGGCTGAGTCAGATGTCACTGTTAATGAGTTGATTAAAAAAAAAAGTAATTGACCATAATCCCTGAGTTACACCCTAAATTTTATCCAGTTAAAAGTTCAAATTACCTCTGCATTATTGAGCTGATGGTAAGTTTGAGGCCAAGGAGGGACCTTTGTTTGACAGCAAAGATGGGGGACCTTTGTTTGAAAGTTTAGGGACATACAAAGGAAATGTCAAGTCCAGGGGCAACTGTCTGGCTGGTAGAGCAGTCCCAGTTGCATTGTGGGACAGGAAGCTTAAATGACCTAAGGGGATATGGGGCAGGGGTGTAGCCTAACTCACGTACTGCTGAATGGGATCTTGGGAAATTATTTCACTTTAGCTCACAGAGCCAAGGCCAGAGACATGAAAGAACGGAGCAGCAAATGAAAGCCTAACATGTGTGTTCATGACCTTGGATGCTACAGGCCCCGTAGATAATGTCTGCTCTGTGCACCGCACTGACCTCCAAGAGAGGCAGCAAAAAGAGTTTTGAGACAACAGATTCAAGGACTCTGGAGACAAAGGACAATAGACAATTTCAGTCCTTCTGCAATAAATGTGAAAGAAGAGATCTTTATTCAGTCACACTGAACAGTTTACTACATAGATGGCAGGCTTTCTCAATAAAGTACTAAAGAGCTAAACCAATCGAAGCCTGAGAAATGGCATTACCCAGGGGTCCCCAGAAACGGGGGCTCTGGCAGCAGGCAGGCTGTGGGCACACCCCCGAGGGAACTGTCCACCCAGCCGCTTCCTGCAGACAGGTTTCCCTCTTCCCCGGCCCACTCCCCAGCCCTCGGACCGCGCCACCCATCACCATGCAGCATCACACACAGTAGCGCGCTTTCTGGAGCTTCCGTCTCTGGAATTTCACTTCTGGGTCTCAGAACTTCTCCTCAGCCCCCACTTGCCGAAGTCTCTTTCAATTGGTGTTACATCCATAACTTCGGCCTCATTATTCTCTGCACATCAGAAATGAGATGAGAATTTCTCAGTGCCAAATTGTCCTTTGTGCTGCAAAGTATAAATAAGCAGCCTTGAAAGTAAGGCTTGAAACCAGAGAAATCATTGGTAGAATAACATCCACCTTTTTACCCCTTCACGATCTTATTAATCATATTTTTTTTCTTGCTCTTACTCTTGCTGGCTGATGAACATGTTGTATTGCAAAATTCCCCAATTTTCTCTGTAATAACTGTACTTATAGGGACTTCTGCATAGGCATAACGGCCAGGTTGTCTCTTCAGCCCTGAAATCACCAGATGGGGGCTGGACTGAGTCATTCCAGATTGGTTGGGGTACGAGTGATCATCGTAATAGCACAGGGCAAACGGGCTATTGGGTATGCGGCTAATGGTTAGCCTACGTGACATGAGAACCCCGTATAAATTCTCTGTGTACACATCTACCCTGGTGATAGCTGTACGTTTTTGGTTTTGCTTTTGTTTTTTGGTCATGGACACTCATGTGTGTGTTTTAAGTCACTTTTGTTCTGGACTCAGATGGTTATTAGATCCAAGATTCCGAGGAAAGCAAGCAAAGATACAAAGACAGTGCCAAAAGGCTGTTCTCAGAAGGGAATTCTTGGCCCTTAAAAATGCCCTACATTAATATGCATGATAAAGAAGGCAAAGAAATCTTCTCCACTGGAAAGTTTTCAGCAATGGAACAGAATACTGGGTCTCTAAAAGATAAGCATTTTTTTCCCCTAATAAAGAGAATCAGCTTTGAAGTCGATCCAGGGTCAGGCTGCCTGGACTTAGAGTCTGGTGTCACTGTCCTCAAGATATTTGGCAAGAGTAAAAACACCTTTGTCCTCCTCTGTTGAACAGTAAGATAAATCTTTCTGGCTTGGCATTGCAAAAATCAAACGCTGTGAGAGACTTCTGTTTCCCAGTCCGGCATGTAAGGAGCCTAGATGTCCCCGTTCCATCCTAACCGGTAAAACTCTGAACAAACTGAAAAATCAACACCTCCTTTACACCCCTTGGAAAAGTGAGGTCAGGGCAAACCACTGCCCCCCAAATTGGAGAGACAGGCAAAAACAGAGAATGACAGCTTACCTGAGCAGAAACCTGTGAGCAGAAACCCAGGTGAAAGCCACCACCGGGAAGGAAACCCGAGCTGTAACTGACCAACTGCTGCGGGCTCCTGGGGACCAGTCTCAGAGTTCAAATGGGGGTGGGGGATGGGCAACCACAGGAGGCCCCCATAGTGTTGTTTTACCTCCAGGAGCTCTGCGGGGCTCTCACAGTGCCTGAGAAAAATCCCCTAGCATTCCCAGCAGGGGGAGGGGAAAGTAAGCATTCTGAAGTACTCGGAGCCCTCTGCTTCAGCAGAGCCTAACCTACTGGGGTTTCTTCAGTGCCTAACCTACCTGGGAGGTGGGAGAGACCCAACTCCAGCTCCCTGTAGCCACCTCAGGGGGAAGGTGGGAGACTGAAAAGCACTGGTCAAGTTCACCGTCCAGTGGCACAGCTTTGCCAATTCACTGAAACCCTGAGATCTAGTTGCAGGACTATGGAGCACTTCCCTGTCCCACACCTCACCACCACATCACCGCAGGCCTATTTACCAGAGGGTTGTTTTTTTTTTTAAATCAAGTACATCATGTCTGGATTTAAACAAAAGATTACAAGGCGTATTGAAAGGCAAAAGAACTGTAATTTGAAGAGGCAGAACAAGCAGCAGAACCAGGCTCAGATACGGCAGGGATGTTGGAATTTTCAGACCAAGAATTTAAAATAACTATGATTAATAGACGAAGGGCTGTAACGGAAAGAGCAGACAACATGCAAGAACGGATGGGTCCTGTAAGCAGGGACACAGTTCTAAGAAAGAATCAAAAAGGAGTTACTAGAGACCAAAACACTGTAACAGAAATAAAGAGTGCCTGTGGTGGGCTCATTGGTAGACTGGAATTGGCTGAGGACAAAATCTCGGGCTTGAAGGTGAGTCAATAGTAATCTCCAAAATTGAAAAACAGGAAGTAAAAATTTTTGAAAAGAAAACAGAACAGACTGTCCAGAAACTGTGGGACAACTACAAAAGATGCATTATATGAGTAATGAGAGTAGAAAGAAGTAGAAGGGATAAAAGAAATAGTTAAAGCAATAACAAACAAAAAAATTTCCCCCAAATTAATGTCAGACACCAAACCACATACCCAGCAAGATCAGCAAACACCAAGGCATATTATCTTCAAACTTTAAAAAAAATTAAATATTAAAAGAATAAATCTTGAAAGAAGCCAGAGGGGAAAAAAAACACACATCGTATATAGGGGAGCAAAGATAAGAATGACATCCAACTTCTCCTCAGAAACCATGCGAGCAAGAAGAGAGTGGAGTGAACTAGTTAAAGTGTTGAGAGAGAAAAAACCAACATAAAATTCTGTATCCTATGAAATTCTCTTTTAAAAGTAAAGGGAAAATAAAGACTTCCCCAGACAAACAAGAATTAAGAAAATTGGTTTTCTTTACTTTGTTTTTGGTATTCCCCGTGTAAGTGAAATCATATGGTATTTGCCTTTCTTTGTCTGACTTACTTCACTTAGCATGATACCCACTAGGTTCATCCATGTTGTCACAACTGGTAGAATTTCATTTGGAATGGCTGAGTAATATTCCTTTGTATAACAAACAAACTCAAACATATACAGAACAAACTGATGGTTGCCACATGGAAGTGGTTGAGGTGAAAAAGTGAAGGAATTAAGAAATACAAACTGCCAGACACAAGCTTAATGTGCAAAGTCTTGCTTTCCTATAGATCAGTGATGAACAAGTAGAATTAGGAATTAAAAACACAGTATCATTACCTTAGCACCCAAGAAAAAGAAATACTTAGGTATAAATCTAACAAACTGTATCAAAGACCTCTGTAAGAAAAACTACAAAACTCTGAATAAAGAAATCAAAGAGGAACTAAATAAATGGCAAGACATTCCACAACACAGGTAGGAAGGTTCCAGATGTCAGCATGCCAGTTCTTCCCAGCTTCATCTGTAGAGTCAGTGCATCCCGATGAAAATACCAGCACATTATTTTATGGACACTCACAATCTAATTCTGAAGTTTATGTGCAGAGGCAAAAGGCCAGAATAACCAATATGATATTGAAGGAGAACAGAGTTATAGGACTGACACCACCCAAGTTCAAGACACACTATAAAGCTACAATAGGTAAATAAATTCATGGAATAGAATAGAGAGCCTAGATATAGACCCACACGTGGTCAACTGATCTTTGACAAAGAGGCAAAGGCAATACAATGGAAAAAAAGAAAGTCTTTTCCACAAATAATGTAGCTGGATTTTCGTATCTGTATGCAAATGATAAAAAAGAATCTAGACATTACCTTACATCCTTCACAAAAACTAACTCTAAGTGGATCATAGACCTAAATGTAAAAGGCAAAACTGAAAACTCCTAGAACATACCATAGGAGAAAAATTAGGTAACCTTGAGTATGGCAATGGTTTTTCAGATACGACACCAAAGGCACCATCCATGGAAGAAATAACTGATAAGGTGGACTTTATTAAAATTAAAAACTTCTGCTTTGAGAAAGATACTATCAAGAGAATGAATAAGAAGTCACAGACTAGAAGACTGTATTTACAAAATATATATTTGATAAGGACCTTTATCTAAAGTTTACAAAGAACTAAAAAGAAGTGAGCTGAATGTAAATTGGGACAGTCACCATGAAAAACAGTA